GTAGGTTGCATTTTCCAGAGATCTCTCCTACCTTTGTGGAGTTTTCTTTAGCTCATTAAGGTAGTTCCTTCAAGTTTCTTTTGCTTTTGTTCAGTCTGCTGTTATTGATTACATGGGTTCCAGCCCTCTCCTTTAGCGAGTCAAGAGAAGTTTGCGCTTTCATTTCTTCCCAGCAATACCTCAAGCACTTCTATGAAATCATCTTTATCTTCTATAGCAGCTGTCATCTTCCTCTGGGGCTGCAGCATCAGAAAATGGTGACAGTGTATTCGTTGCTGATGACAGGCTTAAATCTGAAGAAACCTTTTCCTTTGTGTTCTCAGCTTTGGGCATTAAATTCTCAAACTTTACCTCATAAACCTTCAGAGAGCAAAGTCATCTCTACCAATACCTTCTGTAGCAATCTTATTTTTGTTATTGTTTATTAGATTATCTTCTTAAAATCTTCCTTCATATTATTTTGGCAATGTCCTAGCACCTGAGAAGAGAGAACAGAGGCAAAACTTTGACTTGGTCTTTAATTGGAAATCTATAGTTTTGGAAACTGAACTCTGAGTTAGAAACTGAATCAGCTTTCAGTTTGGCATCTAACCATTGAATTGACTTTGTTTTCTATAACTGATGGAATATGACAAATTGAAGCAGACTGAATGTGACAAGGAAGTGCAAGTTTCACCATCAAATTGTCCAGTTCCCAGCTTTGCATATCCACAGTACTGGATTGATGTATTATCCAAGATAGAAACTGTACTAGCCTATGCCAGTTACACTGATTTGATTAGAACGTAGTCTTCGTTCTGTAATGAGGACCCAAATTCTCACTTATGGCTGAGTGAAGTGTAACAAAGATTTGAAAAACTTGAAATACTATTATTGCACCATAAATTATATCTATGAAAACTTTTATTGGCAAATAAATTATTTACTAGTAGGCTAGAGTAAATGAAATTTGAAAATTGCCTTGTGGTGAAGGAACTCTCAAGTGCTTTGGACCTGAAATTTTGTCAGCATAAATAAACCAATATTGTAGAAAATATTGTATACCAGTATTGGAGGAAAAATGCAGTCTTCCTGAGAAGTAATTTCTGATCATTGCTATCTACATTCAGCATGTTGATTCAGAACTGTTATTGCACAAAACTGATACTTTTCAGTTCATCACCTTTCATTCTATAAATTTCACTTAAAAGCTAACATTCTAACATAACAACAAGCCAACAACAAGCTAACATAACATACATATTCTTTATATCTGGAAATCTTTCACAACTTTTATTATAGACATAATAAAAGCCAGTTATACATAATGAATTTTTGCAATATAACACATTTTGATTATCAGCTTGCAGAAGTATTTTATTAAAAACTGGTATGGAATATATATCTCTTAGGCATTGCAGATGTTCATTCATATATACTCAAATGTTAATCATGTTTATAGTGCAACCTCTAGACCTAGCCCCACACACCAATACTGTACTGTAAAGTAGGGCTTGGTATTTTAGGGCCTATAAATGCATGTTTCATATAGAGGTTGGACCTTTAATGCACTGAAAGAAAATTAAAAATCAATTCTATTTCCCCTGGGTCATTAGCTGATTAGACACATTTTGGCAAGATCTTTTAAAGTGAAACTGTTTGAATAACCTAATAGATACAGAGAGGAAGCATCGCTTTCAGGTATTGCAATAGTTCTCAGACATGCAAACATGTGTCCACCTATGTGCCCCTCTTTTCTTTGGTTTTCCACAGGATAGTTTTGCTTACTTCTTGATCAGCATTAATTTATTGTTTCCATAGGTTTCCTTGTTAGCAAGATGGTAATAGTCTATTGTGTTTTTGCGTCTATAACCAAAATCGCCCTATCAGGTAGCACCTAAGAGAAGCAGAGATTTAAGAACGATTTACTTGAAATCTAAAGAAATTGACTATGGTTGACAGGAGAAACCATACTGAGTGACTATCTCACTGTGCCTGCCTGCTGCTTCTGCTCAGAGAAATTCACAGTCCTCGGGTTTTAGTAGTCCCCTTGGGCAACCTGCAGTGAGTAGCATCTTCTCTTTCATTTGACTTGTTAATTTTGATCACCTGGTGAATCATACTTGTCATCTCAAAATGTCAGTTTTCTGATATATTCCAGTTTGGATAAAGGTAATACAGAAGTTTACCTGCAAAACCAGGTAAAATATGCAGCAGGTTATCCATGTGCAGACATTCAGACAAAAAAATACTCTGGAACTGCTGGTACCTAGTCTTCATAAAACAAGTGAATGACACTGGAAGGCACTAGGTTCCTCTTCCTAGAGGAACTCGTTAAAGTGAACAAATACTATAGGCAAAGGGCTTTCAAAGTGTATTTTTTCCACAGTACAGGTGTTGTTCCAGTGTGCCTCTGAATATTGAGCTCAACCAGATCTTTTCTTTGTAGATCCTTTTCTTGAGACTGTCCATCATACTTTTCTAGAGTAGAGAAAAAGGCCTGAAAAGTGGAGAAATAGCAGCCAGTTACCATTTTTTTTTCTTTTCTGTTCTGATTATGTAGGTTAACATCCCTCCACTTAACTGTTCCTCTACTTTTGTGGGTTTTAGCTTACAAGGGCTCAGGCATGCCCTTCACTCAATCCACCCATACGTCCATCAGAGAGCAATAGAGAAAAGAGAGCAGCTTCTGGGGGAGTAGCTGGGGTTTTGGTCAGCCTTCCTCCCCTTTCTGGGCAACCCGGCAGGGATGACTTCTTGTTTTGTACACTTGGTCTCCAGGTGGTGGGAGGCCAGCAACACGGAGTTCAGCACTTCAGCAATGCTGCCATTACCCTCCGCTTGCTTGACCAGCCAGGTTTAGAATTGCCTGAATTTGAAGACTTTTGGATAGTGAAACAGGGAAGGCTGCTGCAATGGTTTCTATGGAAACAGAAGTGGGAGATGAGAAGCAACTAATAAGAGCTCAACTCAGCTAGCTCCTGGATGGTGATTTAAAAATACGGACTTTTTAAAAATAACCCTTTACCTTATTTCCCCCCCCACACCTAATCTTTGCTTCTGAAGAAAGGGACCAGAAAGGCAGTGGGTTGCTAGCAGCAATGAATGAGAGCTCTCACTCATCACTTTCATCTGCTGGCTGTCATGCAAGAGCTGTAAGTAGCAGTTTACTAAAACTGGCTGCAGGCTTATAAAGTGTATAGTAATTGTAATTTCGGGCTGGAAGAAAACGTGAAAGGCATTCTAAAGGTGGTGTTCTGCTCCTGTTTTCATCCCTTTGAATGCGGTGGCTTCAAGGGTGGTACAAAGGAATTCTCTGACCCATGAAGTTACCCTAGATATTAACTCTGTCAGAATGTGTTTCTGTGTATATGTATATTCTATTGCATATGACATACTGTTTTGCATGTTGCATCTGTATTGCAAATGGGCTCTAGGTATGTTATTCCTTTTAGCCTGTCTCACCGCTTTTCATCCTTCACAGCGTTGTCCCTACATTATGATTTTTTAGAACCACAGAGCTTCAGGATAATTTTGTAACAAGGATCTTAGAGGGAGGTTACCATGTATCAGTTAAAAAGAGAATTCTTTATCTATCCTCTGTTTTTATTTCAACTGCTTAAATGTTTTTCTTAAAAAGGTATAGAAAATGGAGATTTGTGATGGTAAAAATACCTTAAATAAAATTTAAAATGGATACAACAGGTTATAGTTGAGAGCAAGGCTGAATTTAGTGCATTCCCTCTTATGATGAATTGATTTTTGCTATTGTTATGCTAATAGGACTGTTGGCTGCTTTTATTAAGCTTTCGAATAGAGAGACTAGATCAGATTGTGACTCAGCTTCTTAATCAAATCTTTAAAATCAATTTGAGAATTTTAAACAAAAGAAAAAGAAAGACACTCGAGAGAGATGGGGGATCCACAACTTGGACTGCAATTCCTGTGGGTACAGATGTTAAACCAAAATGAGGTAACTAGCTAGCTGATGTCCTTGTGCATCTGTACGCATCATTCCTTCTCATCCCATCTTTTCCTGTCTGATCCCAGGATGAGTGCCTGGGTGATCGGGGGAAGTCTCGTGCAGAGATGGGACGCTGCCTTTTCTCTTCTCCTGGCTTGTATACAGGAATGCTCCCACACTCCACATGGTCCAAGGAGACACATTTCTGCCTGAGCTACATATCTGCTCCCTCATGGTTAAGAGCTATGGATAATTCACCTGAATAAGCTTTAAAGAGAAAATAGGTGGTGGCAATGATCAGAAATCAGTGTTCTGTGGAAACAGGGAGCTTTATCAGGTGATTCCTCTGCATGGAAATGAATTGGAAAATGAAGGAAAAAGATATCTGTTTGTGTGGTTAAGTGGAGACTGAGAAAATTTAGGTTGAAAGTGACTGGTTAAGTAGAGGGAGAAAAAATTTACTTTGTTGAAAAAGGCCATATTTTAAGGAGGAGGCTTTGGAACTATTTTTTTTCCATGCATTTGGTATACATTTTTCTAGAATTTCATATAGAAAATAGTTAGCGTTAGAAATGCAAGTTGCCAGAATTACCAAATTATAGTCCATATTACAATGCAAACCAACTAAATAAGCTTTGTTTTAATTAATAGCCATTAAAGTATGAACAGTTTGCATCATCCTAGTATTTTTACAGAAAAAAAGAAAATGGTTACTCTCTGCTATGAGTTTTATTTTTCCCTTTGATGTACTCTGCATTCCTCCTGTTGATCATAATGTACTTAACAATTGTGCTTGCAGACTTACAGATGTAACGCATGCTGATTTGCCCTCCCAGAGGCATGGTAGATTTGACATGCAGTCTTTGAAATATTATTATATTTGTTGCTGTTGAAAAGCTTGCAAGACTATAAACATCATTATTTCCTAAACAAAACAAAACAACAAAAACAACAATTGTTATAGCTTGTGTTTTGCTGTGTTTGTACTTACACACAGGTATGGCTGTGCAGTAGGCATAGAAATATTAAAAGTTGTATATCTGTATCTATTACATAGATACTGCAGTATGGAAAAGCAACTTTCGGTAGGTTTTTACTGTTGTAAAATGATCAGTATGTTCATAATAACTGCTCACAAGGACTTATTTGATATATCTTATACATATGCCTGCATAAAAGTCAGGTTGTCCTGCTGGCATTTTGGCCTGCAGCTCTCTTTCCAGAGAGTCAATGATAATTAGTCTTATAAGTCTTATCATTTTTATAGTAAATCACAGATTTCCTGGATTGATTTTTAAATCTTCTACCAAGTGAGCGCAGTGGAAATGCTGCCAGAAGAACTGGTAGAAATACCCATCAGTGTTTTGTTGATGAAAACATGTAAGACTTCATATAATATGGGTGTTCTTATTACAGCACCAGCCATGTGAATATGCTTTATAAAAATATTTTTTTTATTTTTTTCTTGTTAAGTAGCTTTGCTGGCATGAGTTAAGCTTAAATATAATATATTTAATGATGTTTAATAATATTTAGACTAGTCCAGCTGGCATGAGTCACACTGAGACAAAAAAAGATAACAGTTTTGATATGATTTGCTTAGATGCTAGTGTGATAGGTCCTAACACGTGTCTGTAGAGCGGTAACAGTGATAACTTATGATAATATTACTGCAGGGCTCTTTCAGGGGTGTGTGGGGAAAATTCTAGTGTTTGTTACTGAACGTTTCTTTGAGGGAAAG